GGGGGGTAGTTGGAGCTCATGAATTCTTTGTTTATGGTCATATCTCCCGCACCTCTTTCTATGGAGTCTTGAGTATGGTGGAGTGCCTTGCTCCGACATGTGGAACTGATTTTTTCTGAGAACGAATTTGATGCTTCTTGTAGACCAGGAGATTTATCCGTCATCTGTTGTAGCTGATGTCCTTGTGAGTGGCGTTCTTCAGCGGTGGTTAGAAGACAAGATTGTTTCTGACACTCAATGTGCCGACAAATCATCCTGTTGGAAGGTGCCAAGTAAACGATTGCAGGTGAAAAGGAAGGAAAGGGCAGGCAACTCTCCTTGTGCAAAGGAGGAAAGGTTGGAAGGCGGGTGGGTCATCTAGCTGTTGGAGGAAGTGGTTTTGCCAACTTCGTCCTCGTAAGTATCTCCTTTAGAGCAGGACGGGTGCGTTCAATGCAATTTAGTGAAACTGGCTTGTTGATATGTGAGATTCGAAGAGTGATTGGCTTTTTGGTACCTTGGTTGGTATGGTGGCCGCAGGAAGACCAAGGCCCTGAGAGTGCTCTGGCAGAGCTCCTGTCCTCTCACAAGGATCGGAATGAGGGAGGATGGGCGAATGGGGGAACTGCGGCGAAGAGCAATCCACTGCAACCTATGCCATCGGAACATGAGATGCAGGTATATGCGTATCGTAGGCTGTCACAAGGAGGGTGTTGTCTTTTGCCTTCTCTGTTGGTGAAGCACAGGTAGCTTCGGTGTTTGTTCCGTTTGCGTCCTGACCCCCGCAGGTACACCTCAGTACGCGCAGGTTACAAGGGATTAGCGAAAGCAAAACAAATCACCCACTGATGTCAGGAATCAACTTTTTTTTTTTTTTTTTTTTTTTTTTTCACGGAAAGCACTTTCATTATATGGAAAAAAGGGGAGGCCGGGAATCCCTCCACAAACAACCCGGAAAACAAATACTGGGACCATTACTCAGCTTAGGTTCAGGCGTTGGGAAAAAGTCCAGTGGCAGAAATGGCCAATGCAAGACCGCTGCCCTGACGGAAAGCCGAACCCTGGAAACAAAGGAGTCCGCAAGGCCTGAAAGCCACACACACCAATGCAAAAACAAACCAAGAGTCCCTGTACACAAAAAGACTATCCAACCCTTTTCCCTAACCTAATTAATACCAAAGAAAACCAGGGAACCCCACCCTCCTACTTAATTACTATTCCTAGCTTCAAGTACAGAGCCAAAAAAAATGCAAAGTTGACCAAGTTAAAGCTACAGCCTATATACCTACTTGTCCACCTACAAACGGTGGAGAGAGATCCCTTAGTACGGTTGACGCTCCTTCCACTGACTACCCTCTGCCTGTCTCCTGCGACCAAACGAGCAACCGAGCAGTCCAAGGTTGGTAAACCTCCTTCTCATATCAGAACCCATGAATCTAACTGTAGTCGGCACTCAGTATTGATTGTTGCCAGTGAGTTGCCAAGGCACCAGGTAGACCTAAACCATTGGATGCCATGGTGTGGGGATTTTGCTCTTGACACTTCGCGTCTCCAGTCAGCTTGGATGGAGCTGCACGACAGGAGAGAAAAGGTACCTCTGATTTGCTTATTCGACCACTCTTTGTTATTGAACAACCGATCATTCTGAAACTGCCAGATGACTGAGAAGATAATGGGGCGTATTACCTGAGCCACGTAGCCCCATCCAGATTGTCTGTTGCAGTTCTCTGGGATGCCTCCCAGCAGAGTCCATTCTTTATTCCATGGGAAGGCCGGACCTGAGATTCGAGCCCAGTGGGTAATCCACCATTTCCAAATTTTGTCAGAGGTGGGGCAGTCCCACCACAAATGAACTGTGGATTCAAACGCCCAATTGCATCGACAGCACTTGAGGTCCACCATCATACCCTTTTGTGCCAGCCAAACAGCTGTGGGCGTAGCAACCATGGAAGCTAGCCACAATATGGAGGCTTGTCTTTGACACGGGATGAGTTTCAGCTGCTCCCAGCATGAACATAGTGCAGAATCAATCCGAGCCGGATCCATCTCCAGGTCCATCTCTAGCAGTTGCAGCCAACAAGATCTAGCTGTGACCAAGGGGCATTTTAGCGGTTTCAGTAACGAATATCCCAATTTCAACGAGTACTCCTTAAGATTATTGTAATTGCCACTGTGACCCGAAACGGTCCATTCCCATTGACAAGGATCCAGTTTCAACTGGAGGATAGATTGCCCTAGACCGAATACATTGTATTGTGGTTCAGATTCCCCCACTGCAGACAGAAGAACTCGGACTTGAGAGAGAGGAAGACCCAGTTGAGGTTGCGAGTTATCTTCATCTTTGAGCAGAGTTTGAGAAGGCCTGAAAGACGCGTTTGCCATCGGGCAGATGTTCGGTAAGACGCCAGATTGAGAGGGAGGTAGGCTCTGAGGTATACCACGTACCAGGGAGGTCTAGGGTCTCTGAGAAGAACAGATCTTTGCATTCCCTTGGTATCGCAGCAATAAGAGAGTTTTTTCATCTGTAGCTGTCTAACCTGCCCCAATGCTGTTCTAAGAGCGGAGTCTTGTTTCCAATCACCGATGAGATCATCCCACAAATCTTCAATTCTGAGCACCCCTTTTTCTATCCATGACCGACCGAAGCTGCCTGAAGAAGTGTCAGCGTTGGTGATCTTCGGGTTCTCGAATAGGGGTTGCAGCAGAACTTCCGATTTTGTGACTGGCTCTGTCCACCCTGTTGACAGGACTTTCTTCCAAGCCCTGATGATTGCATGCCAAAATGGAGAATTGATCCTTCTATTTAGGAATCAACTATTGGGCTGCGGGTGCTATCCAAATCACCCACTAATGTAAGAAACTGGATGTGAACAACAAGCATCAGAAAAGATGAATAAGAAGGTTTATTTAAAAACTGAAAGCAAAATGAAGAAACAGGCGAAAGAAATGTCAGAACAAGAAAAGAGGAAGGGGAAAGAGGAAGAAGAAGGATGATGCTGATCTGCTGGTGAACGTCACCCATATATGTTGCATGATCCAGGGTCAAGACTCCTGTGTAGTCAGAAATGATGGTGCCACATAAGATATGGGGCGAAGAGAAGAGATGGGGGGTGGGGAGGTATTGAAAAGAAGAAACGAAAAGAGACGTTCACAGGAATGATTTAGTAGACGAATGGGGCTATTGTTATGTCCAGTCATGGGCATTCATACGAAATGGATTTTTTGGAGAAAGAGAGAGAGAGGGAGAGAGAGAGAGGAAACAGCTTTTTATGGCTGGCTAAAAGGTCATAGGAAAACGGCCCTCTCTCTCTCTCTCTCCCTCTTTGCTGATTGTTTTTCTGTGGATGTATTCCTTTTCCTTTTTTTTACCAACGCAAAGCCCCCCTTCTACGGTTACTTGTCACCAGGAAGCATGTTTGTACATCCAAAGAAAGGGAGGCGATCAAATCAGAAAAGGGGAACAGCCCAACCCTTGTGGCATTGATCGTCTACCAAGGGGGGACCTGCTAAAGGGGACCCACGCCCCCAAACCATGGTCTTTCTCTGGGGGCCACCCTGCTAGTCGGGAGGCTTCCTAGCAGCGCACCCAATGAAGGAGCAGGGGGGACCCTCAGAGAGATGGGGCCCAGGGAGGAGCGTCCCCTGCTGTTCCTCAGGCCGCCTATCAAGCTCCACAGACTATTGTATCGTCACTTCCAACTTAATCTGCCTTTGTCCAGCTATCATGCTACCTGTCTTAACCTGTTTGGGCTACCTTGCCATCGCTCACTGTACCTTCCTCTTACCTAGGCCCCATGTCATTTACTCTCTATGTACCTATTTTGACTATAAAATGTATCTTCGATCCTCCCAGCGCCATCTACCCCACATTGTCTGTGGATGTATTCCTTGGCACCTTTTCTTTTATTTCCTTCCTTTTTTGGGGTGTGCCTCCCTTGTGATGCGGTTCTCTCCCCCAATAGTTCTTGCATAACGGTCTTATATGGATGTGCTGGTGACACCATCGGACGGCCGTGAGAAACCAGTCCTCTCTCTTCCTCTTTGCTTCTGTTTGTCTGTGGACTTGACTGGCTATCCCGTAGCAGATTCATTCACGCTTTGTTTTGCGCTGTTGTTTCTGTTTCTTTTCATTTGCGGCTTTCTTGGGTTGTTCTTCCCCTGTGATGGGTCCTCTGTCTCTTTTTCTTGCTTCCACGCCGAAGTTCATTGACAACATTATTTTGCTGCTGCCTGTTTTCTTCTTTTTTCCCTTGGTTTATGCCACCCTTATGATGGTTTTTAGGAAGGGCACACTTTCACGTCTTTTCTCGTTCTGTGGATGTATCTCGGTGCATGCCAAAGTGGGTCCCTTGACGCACTCTCGGCCCTCTCCGACATCGGACATTGAACAATGTGTCAGAGACAAAAGCTGAGTGAGCATGAGAGGGACATCACGTTAGAATTCTGGGATATCTGGGATATATTTCTCCCTCGTTCATCCTTGTCTTCATTTTTTCCCTCCTTGTCCTTGCTCATGTATGTCATGGGAGAGCACCCTCTATGTTTGATACTCCCTCCTTCAATCCCTTTCTCTCTCAGTCTCTCTATTTTGCACTCACTGGCACTCTGATGATGTTCGTGAGTCTGTACTGCATTGGGTAGTAGACTCTTGTTTTAGTCTTCCGTTTGCTCTTGGGAGAGGTACTGGGTTGGTGAGTTTTTTTTCTTTTCTTTCTCCCTGATGGTACAGTGCATGTATGCTCACCCGTGATAATTCACCCCTGCTTGTTCTTGCCTGCAACTGGTGCGCCATTTGTCAGGCCATGCTTTCAAGGTATGGTTCATGCCAGCGATCATGGTGACTGGTTCATTGAGAGCTGTCTATGAGTTGCCCTGTTATCAACCATACCATCCATAGCGTCCCTGTCATATTTGTCGCCAAGATTACGCTGGACCCTAATATCACTACTCTCTTGCTGGCTCTGCATTGCGAGCCTGCTCTAAGTGAGCCAAGTGCTGTTTGGGCATTTCGCTGCACCACAGAGATGTGGGAAACCTTCACCCTACAGAAAAGGAAACAAGAAAGCCACAAAGAGAAAGCACTTGGTTGAAACTAGGAAGGAAAGGGCGAAATAAAAAATGAAAAGAAAACGAAACGTAAAAGAAATGGAATTGATCGGTGTGACAATGTCGCCACCCAGCTTGACCCAGGGCTGCCCACTCCCATCAGCGTGGGCCTGGCCCGGCGGCTAGCGAAAATTCGAAGCATCTCCACCTTGTGCCGCCCTTGGTTGATGACGCGAAAATTTGAAGTGCTGCGGCTAGGTTCGATCCCCGTTGTTTTAATGGGAGTGAACACCCGATTGTCGGGCCGTGGTCCGGCTGCCACCGGTGGAGCGTGGCAGATTTTCTCAAGGAGGATCCCAAATTTGGATTTGCCATTGCATCAGCTCTTCTTTTCTCGAGGACCACAACGTTTTTTTCCCGGGGCCCCCAGGGTGGAGAGTTTCCGTTCTCTGGGCCTCCAACTTTTGGTCCATAGGTGGACTGCAGCTGGAAAATATGCATGAGGGAGGGGGTCTTATGGGTTGTCCTAGGTCTTGGGTTGGGTGACCCATGCCTAGCGCCCACCTGCCTGTCACCCAGGCCTAACATGGACCTGCCCGTCACCCGCTCAGACTGGCTCGCCTAGACCCACCTACCCATGCCACCTTATCAAGACCCACACGCGACCCAATGCCTCGTGGGTCGGGTGGGTGTGGGTCTGGGTACCTGTTGCTCATCTCTGGTCTGCATCCATCACATCATGATGCTTGTAGTGATATGTGATTTTTTTTTTCCCCGATTATTTGGGGTATTTCTCGATTTGAAAGTGTCATCCATGCACAGGGGTCGTGCTAATCTTTCTCTATTATTCCAATTTTAACAGATGTCCCAAGGTACGTCTAGTGTGGATTTTAGATATGTTATGGGCCCATGGGCCCAAACCGTCGAAATGGTTTTGGCTTGTTGGAACTCCCTTTGTGCAAGGGATTCTGCTGCAGAAGGCTTGGCTCTGACCTGACAAACTCTGCTGTCTCCATGTCTGTTTGTTGTTGGAATGGTACCTGTCTGTAAGTGTGGTTCTGGGTTCTTGCGGGGGGGGGTTGTGGATGACCCGGGTCTTGACAGTTGACATCACGGGAAATTACCAGATTGCTGGTGGCAGGAAAGATAAAGGAAGCCTTGCAGTGTTCTCGACAGGGCCACCTTTGGGCACCGGCTCTGGTCTTGGCCAGACAGCTAGGCGAGAGGGTGGGTAAGGCCAGTCCTTACACTCTGATGAATCATCATTGTTTTTCCTGTTTCTGTCCTTTTTTTTCTGTGAGGTAGGTTGGAATACTTTGGTACTGCCTGGCTGTACCTGAACGGAAATGTGGCTTGTATGCATTCATTATCAGGGTGCAATATGTTTGGGGAAGATGGTAGCGTCATGAATTGACTGGCTTGAATTTCTTCACAGCGCGTCATAAATGTGTGCTTTTCAGTGGCTGCCTGGTAGTACGATATGTATATAAACTATTGTAAAGCAATCTACCAAGCCCTTCTTGACACCTTAGCTAGGAATCTGCCACAATTAGCCTAATTGTTAGTGCTGTTCATTGCTTTGTTTCCCTCTTGTCTTCATGGAATGGTGATTGATTCTGGATGTGGAAATGAATGTGTGCTTTTCAGTGGCCCTTTAGGGGTTTGGTATGGTGTTTCAGTTCGAGTGGGATCAGGTTCCCGGTTTTCCAGCCATGTAAGGTTGGCGCTGGTTGTGCTTTTCAGCCACATTAAGGTAGTGCAGGTTTGTTTTGTATGTGTTTGGTATGGTGTTTCAGTTTGAGTGGGATCAGGTTCCCGGTTTTCCAGCCATGCAAGGTTGCCGCCGGTTGTGCTTTTCAGCCTCATTACGGTAGTGCAGGTTTGTTTGATATGTGTTGATTGTTACATTTCTGCGTTTCGACAGGGGTGGAAAGCTTCAGGATGCCTTTTAACCATCTCCATGAGCTTCCTGCCTCTGCCTCCATCAAATAAGCACCACCAAGAAGTAATCCAGTTGGAGAAGAGGGGAAAAAAGATGGGAGGGAAGAGGAACACGGAGAAGTTAAGATATAGAAACTGAGGTTGAGAGGAAAAGGAGAAGGAGAGAGATAGCACTGGCTGCTCTGCTGCCTCACAGATGGAGAAGAGGAGGAATAGCGAACTGAAGAGGAATAGCAATGCTTCGAAAGCGATGATCGTCTCAAAGAGTGGTAACTGTTGAGAAATAGCTGGTGGATACTCGAGCAGGGCCTGGGTAATCTGTTGCTGCTCTTGGAGGACCGAAGTCTGCATGCTTAACTTTTCTCTTATCTGTATCCGGAAGACTTCTCCCATGAGAAAAGTGTGCTTGGTCCGGAGTACAGCTGTAGTGTTTGGTTATACGATTCCTGCACAGGGAAGGACTTAGTTGGACTAGGACGACCTTAGGTAGATGAGAAATGCACTTACAGAGCTGGGATTTGGAGATGATGGTGACATGCAAAAAACGGGTGGAACATTGTTTTATAGAACCGCTGGATTGGTTCATCCTCCACACTTTGCCCAACAGTGTGCCCATGTTTGAGTGTGTGCTTTTGGTTTGTCTGTGCACCTCTTTTCTGTTTTCTTGGAGAGTGCTATCCTTGTCAGCTCGAGGGCAGGTGTATCATCTGCAAGTCACTGACGTATGAGAGCCTTCCTCGAGCATGATATTTCAAGAAAACAAAAATGAAACAGATCTAGGTGCTGCATATTGGCCCTGTTGTTGGTTTACACTTTCTGGCCGAGCAGTTCCTGACAGCCTCCAAAATAATCTCAAGGGAGAAGAGTAACTCTATTTTCTATTGGCAGTGGAGAGCAGCTGTTTATCGAAAATCTGCCGTGCAGTGAACTGTGTATTGCTGGGAAGATGACAGTGGAGAAAAGCTGTTTATCCAAAATCTGCTGTGAAGTTAACTTGTGTATTCGTGGGAAGATTTTCATGTATTGCCCAGGTAGCCCTTCTCGTGTGTTTAAATATATTACATGCTGCACTGCCGGATTTTTGTTAATCGCATGACGTTCTGAAGCTGCAAATTGAACTCGTGTGGGCTAAGGTGTGATTATCCTGGTTGTTTTTCTACTCTGTTGAACCTGTGGTTCTTAATGCAGACCTATGTGGAGACTTGTGCAGATATGGCCCAGCATCTGTTCACCTTGGGATCTCCTCTTCGCACACTCTGTCTTTTGCTATCAGGACAGCCAAAGGAGGTGTTTGCAGGATTGTCATCTCCCATGGAAGTGTCGACATTGCAGGAAGACTTTGGTCAGGTGAGATGGTGTTGCGATGCACAATGTAAACATAGCCCTTGCACATGCTTCCTGTTGATGCCTTTCCGGATAGCTCTGTCTCCACTTCTCTGCATGTTGTATATGTTTTGGATGGGCTTCTTGTGAGTGAAACGTCTGCCTCAGCCTCTCTGGGACCCTTTCGTTCTGCAGTTGGTCTTGTTTTTCTTGTACCTGCCTCGATCGCCCAAATTGGTTGTAAGTTCTAATTGTTTCACGTCATTTGACGTCTCGTCAGATGTTCCAGTGAAAACGTTTAAGGGCTTTCATCTTTCTCTAACTCTCAGTAGACACATGGGCCCAATCCGTTCTTGGGGCAACACTGCCATTCACCTCCCACAGATGATGGCCAACTTCCACACATTCTTCAGTCCATTCATTACTGAGGCTTCCTAGCCACTAAGGATGGCCACACCGTGGGACTAGGTAAAGCTGGTACAACAATGTAGAAGGTAGATAGCTCAGAGAGTATGTTTATTCCTATTTCCCAGTTGCTATGTGGGCTGAGCGGGATTGAAGTGTCATCCAAGCCCGGTACCTGCCTTTAAGGAAACATGAAGAAGGAAACTGGTAGTTCCAGTTTTTCTCCTGAAAGGGCGTAGATACTGCTACCTGCAATAACCCAAGTTCAGAATCTGCATGGACGTGGGCCAGGGGTTGTAACTTATGGTCAAAGGTTCGCATGAGAGGGCAAAGGTCCCAAGTCTGAGAAACGCCTGGGTAAAAGGCCTAAGGCCAAGGGGTACCCTGGACCAAGTCAAATCGGCCTTTAGAGGCCCTACGGGCGACAGTTGACCTTGGAAAAGTGACATGGCTCCGTGGCACCCATCTTCTTGTTTATCTAAACAGAATGGCTGGAACACAACCAACCAGATGTGTATGACTTGACCCTAAGTGGTGCAAGCAAGTCGATGCAACACTCATAGGAAGATTGTCAGCTGTTGTAATTCAGCAGTATTGCTTGGTCCCCTGTTCGCCAAACGCTAAAACCAACAGCTGGCTGTAGTTTCGTATTTTTTGATCTTGCTCCCCCTGTTCCGGAATGCTTTCCTATTATTAAGACCTAGTTTGAGGGTTCTTGTTGGCTGGAAATAGTGCCGAGTTCCAGCTACATGTGTGGCTTCACTCGGTGTTGTGATCCTTGTGCTATGCTAGTCTATGGCGACAGAAGGATGTGTGCACTCATTCACCAAATTCCGAGTTTATTTCCAGCCAAACTCATTTCATGTGAATTCCTGTATAATAACTACCCATCTGCAAGAGCATTCCCATTTTTACTGTGTAGTACTTGAAACATTTTCAGTGTCAAAATACTAAAATCTTAATGGTCACGGCCGTCTGCTTAACTTGCAGGAAGGGTATGGCAGCATGCTGGATGATTGGCAGGAGAACTTGGCAGTTATGGCCGCCAATCGGACTGATGGGGATGAGCGCGTCATCATTCATCTCGGGGACTGCCTATGGAGATCAAGAGGGGAGGTAAGAGGATTTGGAAATCGTGCATTGCTGGGCAATTGCCTATTCCATCATCATTGTCAGGACTTTTGCGGCAATGTGAAGGTGATTCAAGTGCGGTGGGATTGTTTATGTTGGCTCTTAAACCACCACTCCCTCCGAGAGTCCGAGCCTATTTTTGCCGACCCTGAATTTCACTGGGCACTGAGTTTTGACGAGCCTGGGTTCCGTTTTGTTGATTTTCTGGTACTCTCCTGGAAAAAAAAAGAAAACGCACGGCCAGACTTTCGAAAAATGACCCGCTCGCAGCCACAAAAAAATAAAAGAAAAAAAACAAGCACCCCTCTCGATGAGATATCAGGTAGATACCTAGCCCCAAGTCGTTGTGTGAGCCCTCAGTGAGCTCGTGGCAAGGGTGTCAGGTCCACGGAAGAACGAAAATGACAAAAAAAATTGAAACTGAACTTAGGCCGGGAAAGCGGCTTCATACATTCTGCAAAGTAAGAGTGTGGGCATCCGCCATGCCTCCCCGGCAGGGCACCAAAACTAAAGAAAGAAAGAAAACAAGAAACACAAAACAATGAAAACCTGAAACTGGCCACTATAGCAGTTAGATAGGAACGTGTGAGTTTTGGTGTGAGCACAACTTGGTGAACGGCCTTCCCCGACATGATCTTTGTTGTTCTTTTTGTTTTCGAAGAGTCTCACAAGGCCCAACTGCCGAGCCTTGTCCAACCTCTGAAAAGTTTGTAAAAGATGGGAAAACAGCCAGTTTTCCGATTTTCCCCAAGTGTGACAGAGGTAGTGGTGGTTTAAAAGAGTCAATTTGTTAGTAAGAATAGGCCGCACTAGTGCTATGTTTCCACTTAGCTAGTATGTGTTTTGTCAGTTCTGCATCCAGCTTTCGTGGTTTCTTATCATAAGCATGGCACCAGAGGGGACTGGCCTTAGCTGGTCTGTAATAGTTGACCGGGTCAACGGAGGTTGTTTATAGTAGGCTTTGTGCAGACTGTTTGTTCCCAATCACAACACGTAAAAATAACTTGTGGGGTTGCCTACTGTTCTATGTGAGGGACTGGCCCTAGCTGGTGGTCTGTAATAATTGACCAGGTCAATGAAGGTTGTTTATTGTGGGCTTTGTGCAGATGCAAGGAATATGAGTGAGAGCGATAGACAGAAATACAAGTTGCAAAATCATGCAGAAGTCCAGATAGTCATGTACCGAGTGGAGAGCTCAAATGCACCAAGATTCCATCCGAATAAGAGCAAACAGTGAACTTGTGTGCCAATGTTAGGCCCCACCAATGTAGTATCCAATGTTGCTAATCTCTGTCTGGCGCCCAGTGCCCAGCCTACTCTACTGAGCCTATCTAGCCTATCTACGTTCGTGCAACAGGATCACTTCCGATGTTGAAGACCAATGTACATTATGTCAACACCAATGCCGACCTCCCACATACACCAGGTACGTTCTCTCTCCTCCCCTCATCAGACCTTGACCACCCACTAATTCGCCTCCTACCCGAAGACCACCTTCGCGCATCACCTGCATGTGCCCCCGCAGCCAGGCTGTGGCAGCCGTGCGCCCGCTGCCCTGCAGCGCCCCTCTCGCCTCATAGCGCCTGCGTGTGCCCCAGCCAGCAGCTCGCATGCAGACACTTGCGCAGCAGTGCAGCAGCGTGTCTGCATTGCCTGCCTAGGTCAGAATACCCTCGCTCTGGCCAGCAACCTTCCTATATGGGAGTCGCGGCCCTGTTTGGCGGCATGGGCCTGGCTGAGGAAGCTCCCAGTAGCTTCGGCCTGGGCCCCATTGTCTGCGTCCAGGCCCTGTTCGACAGTTGGGGGCCTGGGTTCTTTTTGGTTGGGCGCGTCCAGGCAGCCTCCAGGCTCCAAGTGTTTGCTGTCTTCTCATTGTCTCACTGGTGCTCTGTGACGACAATGCTGCATTCTGATTTGCCCGTGGCCACTTCGTGATGTGTCGGCCTTACACTGCGTGTGCCCAGGGCACAACCAACCTGCCCTGGGCTCAACTGCTTGATGCAGCTGCTGTCTCTGGAAGGAGCCCAGGGTGAGGTGTGGAGAAGGTGGAGTTGTGATTCAGTTTGACTGGGCTCAGTGGTTTTGTCACATGCTGTGTTCCCTCTCGGTGAGTTGGTGCAGCCCTTGGTGCCTGCTGCTCCATGCGAGAGTTATGTGATGGGCCAGTCGCTTGTAACCACTGTCATGACTACTATGCCGATCTTGTTTTCGTCGCAAGTTGCCTTGACACTTAAAGCATCAGTCCTCCCGACAAACAAAAAGTGGTACTACTGGTGCACGCTGCACAAAAGTGTGCTGCGAGGATTTTTTTCCCATCTCAGAAACTGCGAGGATCAGGCTCCTCGGCAAGCCTTATGGGCCCCAATTGCAAAATTGTGCCTGCCCTATGTGAAGGCGGGCCTGATAAAATCATGAGAGGCCCATTGTTGTCAATTTTGCATTTGGGGTTCAGGCAGCTGCGTTGCGTCAGTTGGTTGAAGGAACCCAGGCCATGGCCAGCCACACTTTGTTTCGGCCGTCCAGGCCTTTCTTTGAAGCAGGCCCTGGGCTGCATCTGCAGCAGTATACACGACAGGGAGTTGTGAGGCGTAACCGAATGGGGCCCAGGGCCGTAGCAGCAGAGGCCCAGCTACCCGGGACCTATCGGAAGCTTCTGGGCACAGGCCCAGCCCAGCCAGGCAGCGCGCAGGCCAGACTCGTTCCATATAGGAAAGAGCTCGCTGCCGGGCCGTTCATTCGGGCACTTGCTAGTTTGCGGCAGCGCTGCTGGAGCAAGCGCTCGCGGGCTGCTATTAGCGCAGAGCAAGGCGTTGAGCACGTGCGGTCGTGTAAAAGGAAGGGCGCTGCTGAGGGCAGCGCCATGCCCAGCTTCCATAGCTGGCTGGGCTTGGGTGATGGGAAGGGGAAGCGGTGGTCGTCGTGTATGTGGGAGAAGACGTGGGTGAAAGACAAGGGAGAGAGAGTGTGAGAGTGAGATGAGGATGACGACGTGAGGGCACATACCTGGTCTTGGCGATAGTCTGCATAGGGCGACATCTTCATGTACCGTGGTGGCTGCTGACGTCAACAGTTGCATTTTCAATTCGTAGGGAGGCAGTAGCTGTGTGATAGTAGTCTGGGCGCTGAGCGCCAAGGAGGAGGAAGGGCTCTGGATAGGTATGTGTGGGATGGCGAGAATAAGCTCTCATTGACACTCTCATTGACACTCAGATTCAGTGTTTTCGGTTATCCATTGGTGTAATATTGGTACAATTCTGCTTTCTGGACAGTGTGGGACTTTCTGGCTTTCACTGTGATTGTGCAATCTGGAATCTGTCATTTCGCTATTGCTAACTTTCCTCACAATTTGGTATCGGAGCTGGTTCGAACACTTGCTGGTTCTTCGCAATAGCAGTTTGGTGCTTCGCATGTGATGGTGGGGCGGTGATAACGCTTGGGCGTTGAACGTGCGGCGGCCTAGGGTCGTGTGGGCGCGCCCGGAAGACTATGAGGTGATATTGGGCTCTGCGCTGTGGGTGCACCATGAAGTGATGGATTGCACAAGGAACCTGGATGTAGGATCAATTTATTAGATAATAAAATGTGTGAAACAAGAAACAGCCGAAAATCTCCGAAAACTTGTATTTGTTCAAATTCAACAAAGGGCATCTTGCCATGGTTTTGGGACATTGTTCTGCCCCAAAGTTGCTTGAAACACAGACACAAGTTCAAATCCAGATGCGAACGTGGGGCCGATCAGATCGATGATGATATTCCAACGCCCTTGCACCTCCTTGAAGGGAATTGCTTCAAATATCATTCTATTGAAGTTCCTACGGTCGGGACCAGATTCTGCGGTTTTGTATATTGGCCGTCCGATAAGTAATGCAATTTCCGGATCCTATCCACGGTGCCCCTGAAAACACGGATGGAAACGTGGGCTGTGTCCTGGAAATGACTGAAAGTGGCTGGATTCCAACTGCGCTGATAATAAGTCTTCCCAACAAGTAAAACCAAAAAAGAAAAACCTAAATTGGGGCTCAGACGTCATCCAGAAAGGAAACCAGTACCGACAGAGGGCCTCACTGCACTACTCTCCAAACGTGAAAAATGAGACTGAATCCTCCGCTAGAACGTGGAAAGATACACTGCCATCGCTCAGCACAAAAAAATGCGAATAGGCGAGTTAGCGACGTGATAGTATTTACCTTCCTGGGCAACGCAGAGGATTAAGGGCATGGCGAAGTGTGCTCTCTCTCTCATGCGCGCGTCGCGGAGTGCTCTCCCACTCTCACTCTCTCAGCGGTGGGTCAGAGGTCCGTTCACACTTGGCAAAAAACGTATGCCGAGTTCTGGCCATATATGGGCTGCACGCGAACCGGCATGGCGAAGTGCACCCTGTCACAGCATGCGTGTGTGTGTGTGTGTGTGTGAGAGAGAGAGAGAGAGTGAGAGAGGGAGTTTGACAATTGTTAATGATGATCAGACGAACCCTCTAGAGTGACAGAGAGAGGGATGGAGGGAGGGAGGAATAGCAGAAGAACGGGGAGAGTGAGGGATGAAGAAATGGGGAGAGGGACAGGGCAGAGAGATCCTTCGTGGGGTATTAACCTACTGAACTTCCGGCGCACGATGTTCTCTCAAGGAGGCACACCCGTCCTCACTCGTAGGCCCAGCCTAGATGATTTGAAATCATCACTACATTTCTCAGTGTTGGGAAAAGTGGGAAAATACGATATACCGTGAACTTCGGAGGTCCCGTGGAGGCTTGGCAAGAAAAAAAGGAAAAAAGAAAACAATGAGACGTTGCGAGCCCGTGTTGGGAAAAAAAAACAAAAAATGTAAGCACTTTGAATCCAGCGACGTCAGGGAAGGCGCTCATGGAGGAAGTGACAGCAGTGCTTTGAGGAATGTATCTGGTGAGTATGTGTGGAACGTGATTGCTTCTGCAGTGACCGGCTTCATATGCCTCGTTCAATGTCTAAGGGCCTTGCCAGCACAACTCG